ATAAGATAATAAGCATGAAAACGCTCTAAAAAGAACAAAGCACTATAAAAATGCAAGAAAGTATTATTATCAACCTAGTTGTTAGCTTAGAGGATGAAGGCAGGGCACAGGCTGAGAGCCAAACAGCTGGAAGGCAGGAAATCTTAACACCAAAGAAAAAACTTTCTTTGTTCAGATTCTTGCTGGAGGGACACTTTCCAGAGCAGACCTGGCACTGGAATCCTCTGAAATGCTGAAGGAGGCTCAAGAAAGTGTTAAAGGGCAGGCGGGCATTTAGCAGCCAAAAGACTTAGAGAAACACCAGTCCTGGCTCCTCAGTTCCTTTGTGATGAACAAAGGCTGCGATGGAAGGGGGAGGAGGGTTGTAACAGCAGGGTTCAGGTTCAAAGCCAGGTGTGCGTTGGATCCTCCCACCCGCTCTTTAACCAGTCACCAAGCTATTCTGGGAGCCAGGATGTTATGGCACTCTGTAACTAACACTGAACTCAGTTGCCAACAACCTAAAAAATATTCTCTCTATTCAGTGTTCAAAGAGAACACTGACCTGGGGAGAAGCTTAGAGACTCTAGTCAAACTGAGGGCCGGAGGGGCAGACTCTTGCCAACATAACAAGTAGAGTCAGGCTCCCTGGGCCACAGGGAACAGAAACCTCTCAGTCCAGCTCAGAGAACGGCGTTTCTTGGAAGAAGTGGGGTGGAAACACAGGCAGGAACCAGGCAGGTCTGGGGCCCTTCCGCTAAGCCCTTCTCCCTTTCTGCACACCCTCCCATCTCAGGCCAGGATACTTCTCTCTTACCAACATGCTTCTGCTTTTGGTCTCTGCTCCCTCTTAGCTCACACCACGTACTGACCAAGGAGCGCTTGATTCTTGACATCTGACAACGTTCTGTGCCATGGTTCAAGGCTCGCTGTAGTTGGCCTGCCTTGAATTGTTGAGCGAGGCCATTAGTTGAGCTCACCAGCCAATATGCCAGATGGTAACCTTTGACATGGTTGGCTCCTCCTGCCCAAGTCTACAAGGTAGAAGGGAGTCTGAAGTTCGGCCCCCGCAGGCTTTGTGGTCCAGGCAGCTTTCCTTCAAAGTGCACGTGGGTCAGGCAGGCACCAGTCCTTCCCCGGGACCACGTGACTGGAGCCCAAGGCTCCAGATTTCCTGCTCAGAATAGCTGGATCCTCTGTCTTCATTTATGCAGCAGACATGTCTTGCTATCTATTAACTATCATTCATGAACATCTTCTTCCTCTTCCTTCTCCTCCCCCTCACCTCCCTACCCCAAGGAGATTATGGTATAGTGAAGATAAAGGCAGGGGAAGAATTAGAATACAAGAGTGCTTTAGAAAACTATGAGCCGTGTGATAGCAGCTATCACTGGCTGGTGCCCAGTGTCCGCCACGGCTGTCCCTTCCATACCTTTCCCATTTAATCCTTTCGGCTCCCTGTGAAGCACTAACGCATGTGAGAACAGACTCAGAGACTGTGTCCCCCGCCCCCCCGTAAAGGGTACAGCAGGCTCTGATACCAAAGCCTGCTCCACTGTGCTTTTACACAGCTGTTAGAGCCTGGGTCACCGGGGAGAGCGGGAGCCTTCCAGGAGGAGATGATGTTGGGGCTGAGCCCGACCAGGCCAATGTGGGGAGGGGACTGGACAGCAAGAGGAGCCCACTAGCACAGGAAAGGCTGCAGTGGGGTGTGAGCAGGGCGCAGGATGGGAAGCACACTTCAGGCCCCTAAGAGTGTGTCTCCCTGCATTTGTGTTCTGCGCCTCATTTGCCTAGCCCTCCAGGGCTTCCTGGCCCCTGAACATGTGGGCACTGACCTGGGCAGCTTGAGAAGAGCCCCCTAGTTGTGCTAAGCAGCAGGGAGTGTGGAACATGCCCCAGTTTGCAATTCTGTATAATTTTGGTGTGTGTGTGTATGTGTTTAGGGTGACGGGGTAGGGTGATTTGACTGATGTCTGTCACATGGGGGTTATGTTCTGTTTTGCTCATCATCGTGTCCTTAGTACTTGACACATAACAATACTGATCAGGGGCCCTCCCTGGTGGCACAATAAGTTAAAGTGCAGCACTGTGAAACTAGCAGCAGCCTGCAGCATGAGTTTGATCCCCTGCCAGGGAGGTGACCCACATGGCACGGCAGACCTCTCCTGACCCGCCCGCTGAGGGTGTATTTCAGTGGATCCACCTGTTCTGCTCCCTTCTCTGTTTCTGATGAATCCTCTCATCACCTTCCCCACCCTCCCCACCTTTTTCTCCCCCCTGCACCTCTGACCTATACTCCAGTGCTTCTATGCAAAAATAAATAACTCTTTTTAAAAAATAGAGTAGGATCAGGAGTTGGACATTAAATCTTGATCCTACTTCTTAGAGATTAGACAAGGCCAATCTCAGTTTTCTCGTCTGTGAAATGGAGATGATAATACAGTAGACCTAAAACAGTTATTGGGAAGACCAAATGAAATATTCCGTTACGTATTTAGTACAATGCGTGGAACGTGGTTAGTTCTAGAAAATTTTTTGTTATTTATTTTAAGAAAAAATTCCTCCCTTAACCTGGGGAAGCTTCACTAGGCTGGACGAGAGTTGCAGTTCCCAGGACGGCCGCTCGAGGGGAGCGGTGAGCAGCCTGCAGGCCGACTCTCGCTGCGCGAAGACACCTGCTGTGGACCCAGATGGCCCGGCTGGGATTTCCGGGGCTTCCCGGCCCCTGAACAGGTGGAAGCTGGCCAGGGCAGCTCCGGCGAGCCTCTGTCACGGGCTGAGCTTGGCTGATTCCTACAGTCCCAGCCTGGTCTGTTCTCAACCTGGGGGAGAGGCAGGCAGCCAGAGGAGGCAACTATGGTGGGCAAGTGGGGATTTATACTCTCCTGTTGGTCACTTGTTTTCAAACATAAGTATGGCCACTTGTCTATAAGTTTTCTATAGTTGATCGATGTTTTCCCTTTGGCTTCTAGGTTTATGCCTAAAAAGTCTTTTCCTTTTCCACACTTACTAAAACGTGTATTCATCTTTTCTTCTGGTACACTATGGTGTTATTTAAATATGTGCTCCACCTGGAATTTATTTCGATGTCGCCTAAGGACATAGCTTCCTTTTATTTCCCCAAATGACTTGACAGTTATTCCACCCATTTTTTGAAAGGCGTATATTCTTCCCCCACCCCCAGTGTGTCGTTATCGTACAATGAATTCCCTTGCGTGGTTAGATCCATTTCTGTATTTCATTTTGTTCCACTCAATGATCTAGTTCTGCTTTAGCACCACACTGCTTTAAATATGCTGGTTTATAATATGTTTTCATATCAGATAAAGCAAATTCCTTTCCATCAATCTTTTTCTAGATTTTTAAATTCCATATGCTTATTCTTCCACATATCCTCAAGCAAGAATCAATTGCAAACCACCCAATCCTTCCCAAAGCCAATATGGTGGCCTGAAGTCCCTGAAATTATATGCAAAGTGTACATTTGCACATTTCTGCAGGGCAAGTCCGAGTTTTCCTGCGATGTGCAAAGGGACCATGATTCCAGAGGGAGTTCTGTTTACATGTCTCGTGATGGGATGAATGAGAGGAACACAGGACAACCCTGACTCCTCCCTCCCTCTCCACATCCTCACAGTTTCTGCTGTCCCCTAGTTCCACCAGCTACTTCCCTTGTTTCCATCCTGACTCCTCTAATCTAATCCTCCTGCTGTTCCAGAGCAACTGTTTTATAATACACAGTCTAGTTCTAGAACTGAGGTAGAGCAGATAATAACAAATGTTTTATTAATCAGTTAATAAAATTATGAGTCCCAGTTCCACTCAGGGTCCCCACATTGTTGAGTCTTCAGTTTACCCATCTCACAAGGCCAGTGAAAAGGGGTATGATAGAATAAGTAGAAGATTACAGCGAGTAGCACCAGAGGGGTCATTTAGCCTCAATAATTTTCATTTTCCTCCAAACCTTTCCACTCTCATTCACATTTTAATCCAAACTCTCAGCTGGGAGATTACATATCTCACCAGCCTCTAGTAAACACATCGGAAGACAAATATCACCAATATTGTCCTTCTGTTAATGAACAAAATTAAAAACACAGGAACCCCAACATGGAATTGACTGACTAACCAGGGTTAAACACAGAAAGATGGAGCAGGCATGACACTAGGCAAGACTTTATAGCATCCCTTGAAGTCTCAGGCTGCCAAGGAACCCAAGAGACCCCATTTGTAAGTTCATTTAGGGAGATGCCAGATCGTAGAACAGAGTTTCTCAACTTTGGCACTATTAATATTTTGCACGTAATAATTCTTTGGTGAGGGGGCTTACCTGTGCGTTGCAGGATATTTTGCAGCATCCCTGGTCTCTTCTCACTAGATATCAGTAGTAACCCCCTGTTATGACAACCAAAGATGTCTCCAGACATTGTCAAATGTTCCGTGGAGGACAAAATTGCCCCATGTTGAAAACTCCTGCTCTAGAAGTGAAGAGGGCAGGGGAAGGAGGTTAACTTGGGTCTCTACTCTTTGCCCTTTGTCTAAAAGGGGCATCAGACACTATTCTTCATTGTAGGGATTTTCGCAAGTCTTTTCTCCTTTCTGTGCTCCAGTGATGTTTATAAATCATTCCCCCTTCTTTCACCACCTGACGTTCTAGGATCTGGTCTAGGGTGAGGCAGGGGTACTGCAATGCCAGTGAAGTCGTGGGAGGTGGCCCCCAAATAAGGAAGGATGTAAAAGAACAGAGGAGGTGGTGGTAGTGGGCTCTAGTTGGAATGGGACTTAAGCATTCTCCAGGGACCTTCCTTTTTCTAGGGACTCCGCCCCTTCTAGGCCTTATTAGTTTAGAAGGCCCCCATCCAGGCAAATCCAGACCTCCCTATTCCCCTAGGCCACGCCCACCACCGGAGGCCCTGCCCCCGTTGACCCCGCCTCTTCCAGTGGCCCCTCCCCCCACAGGGGCCCCGCCCTCGTCAGGGTCCGCCTCCTTCTTCGCCTCCCGCCAGCCGGGGCTTAGGCTTTGCACCCCGCGGCGGCTGAGAACGGTGGCGGCTGCAGAGCCGGCAGTGCAGGCGGGCGGAGCAGAGCTGCCCGGCCCGGTGGCGGGCGATGCCCCCGTGAGCCTCTCTCGCCGCCCCTCCCCGCCCCGCGTCCCTACCTCTTAGGAGTCAGCCACTCGCCAGGGACCGGGCCGCGCCTACCGCCGGGTCCGCGGGGCGGGGTCGCGGGGCAGCACCTGCCCCGCCTTGAGGCGCCGCTTCGGCCCCAGAGACCCCTCCCTGTCTGGACCGCGACCCCACCTCGGGGTAAGTCTGTAGGCCTTGCATGCCTAGGAGTGGGTGTGGGGAGGGGGCTGCG